GAAGCTCCCACCTTCAAGGCTGGAGTCCCTTGGTTTCCTCTTACTGTGGTGCAAAGCGGCTTTAACTTATCAACAGATGTCACCCTGCCTACTCAGAATTGTGCAGGTATTTCTAATAAAAAAAACAGCTGGAGATAATGGTTGTGAGGGCGATAAGGAAGACAGGACTCCTGCTTTCCCATTGTATGAAGGCACAGGGGAAAATAAAACCACGGATGGAACCATCCCTGCATGTTATCCTCTCTGAACGCCTGGAAAGGCACTAAGAAATTGCAGTTAGTAAATTTCCAGCTGGTCGGATGGTGAATGGAATGGAGACTGAAAAATCAAACTTGGCTTGCTATTGATGGAGAGGTCCGGAAAGGCTCATTTGGACTTCCGGGTGGGTGGCTGGGGATATGTCTGCAAGGCTGGCATCAGCCCCTTGGCATGCAATTCTTGATAGACAATTGTAAAACTGCCAGGCTAAGCTTTCAAAGGGAGAAAATTGCTTCATTGCAGATTAGAGTCCAGTCCTTCTTTGGAGCTGGGAGCTGCTTATGATGATTTACATGTAACTCTAAGACTGTTGTTTTCTTTTTGTTTGTTTGTTTTTGTGTTTTTTTGGAAGTGAAAAGAGGCCTGTGAGGCCCTAACTAGTGTCATTCTGACTATAGGACAGGGAAGGTAAGAGAGCTAAGAAGTGGGTTTTTCTTTCCTTCCCCACTTCAAAACTGTGCTGAGGCACAATAAAAGTTAATTTTCCGAAGATATAGAGTACAAAGCAAAATCTCCCAGCCAATGGCCTGGGTCCTTATGGTAGAATTTATTTAACAGAAGGTCTAATGTACATAATCCAAGGTAGTGGAGAACCTACATTTATAGAGCACATATGATGATGCTGGCGTTGGTGGTGATGTTAGTGGTGGTGTTGGTGGTGATGCTGTTGTTGTTGGTATTGATGGTGATGTTATTATTGTTGCTGGTATTGATGGTGTTGGTGTTGGTGTTGGCAGTGATGGTGGTGTTGGTTTTGGTGGTGGTGGTGGTGATGGGATGGTGTGGCAGCTAACATTTATTAGGTGTTTACTATGTGTCAGACATGGTACTAAGAGCTTCACAAACATCACCTCATGTAGTTCAAACAGTAACCCTTTGAGGCAGCACTCTTTTTATCCTAATTTTTCAAAATAAGACAGAGACAGTATAAAACCTCATCAGGGTCATAGAAGTAGTAAGGAGTTGCCAGATTCTCAATCCAGACAGTTTCACTCTAGAACCCAAATTTTTAAACTGAGTTTTCAGCTAGGTACTGAGTGTCTGCCTCCATGCTAGAGACTCACCTTATGCTTTCTCAGTTAACATCATGGGTAATATAAGCCTTTTCTAGCAGATGAAGAAACCAAGACTCAACAGGCATTATGGTTCTTGCCCAAGACTTCTTGCTCTTAAGTAGCTGAGCTAGAATTTGAACTCAAATTTCAAATCCTAAGCTCTTCTCACTACACCATGCTACATCCATTCACAACTCAGCCACGGCTTAGGGTTCTGGATGGAGCAACAAATGCAGAACAGGCTGAAGCCCCACATGACAGTTCAGCTGACATCACTCTCTCAGGCTGAACAGGCTCATAAATGTGAGGGTTTGATACATTGATCTGCAAATGGTCCAAGTCATCCTTGTTTTCTAGCAGAACTTCAATTTTAGGATGATGTTTGCTGTTATCCTGATGAATGGCTCATTGCCTCTAGTTCATTCATCAAAATTTTCAAGGCAAGATGGAGCATGTGAAATAACACATGTGCAAGGGGTAGAAAACCTTCTGGGGATTCTTCCCAAAGGAGTCCACCCAGGATACTCAACTTTTATCTTTCCTGGAACATGATTTTGCCTTTAACTCACCAGCTCCCCAAATAGCTTTGCAAGATTGATAGTGTAGATGGGTATCAGTCTTGCAAAGACTGATCATGGTTTTGGATGGCATGATGTATAATTATGTGCTATTGTACTGATCTAACAGGGCAAAATATACAGTATATTAAGTTCTTTGATCATGAACTCTATTAACAACATGCTCTCTCAAAGCACTCTTAGCTTTCAATAACCATCCCAATAACTTACATGTGACCTGAGAATGATTACAAGGGAGCCACAGAATCCATTTATGAACAGTGAAAACAATTTACCATTTTAATGGTTCTGACCACGCTCTTCAGGACTAAAGAAAAGGAAGCTCTGTGGATACAGCCTAGCAGTCCCCCACACTATGGAAAACTAGGAAAGTATCTGAAAATTAAACACATTTGTCAAGGAGTGACTGAGAAATCACGTCGAGGTAACAAGGTATACTTCTGTCTCCTGAGAAGGTTCGCCTCATCAGTAACTCTTTCTCTGGATCAAATCAGATGTATTGAAATTCAAGTGCCAAAAGCCACTTGTAGTAAACGGGAGCATACCTCTCTCAAAGTAGCTGCTGATGGAATCTGAAGTGGCTGGGAGCCAGCACACGCTGTAGTACAGGTATAAACCGCAGAGCCCCAGAGTGAATGCTGCATGTCTTTGGCCTTTGAATTTCCCTTTCCCATTGGAAGGGGACAGGGCCCCTTTTGGCTAGACACAATGGACTACCGTGATCTTACATCTCTATCAATCTTACTTTAAGCACTACTTATTGTTGCTTCTTAGTCTGGATTCTCAGTGTGTTTGGTTGGAGTGCAGGCAAATGCAGTGACACTTTGTTTATCAGATTAAAACATCGGAACCATGTCTCACTGAAAATTGATCAGGGTGGGCAGAATGTGTCCATCTCAGAATCGATGCTTTCAGAAGCTGGATCCACGTTAAGTAGCGTTGATCACGCCTCATTCTGTCATCACCAGTCATTGCGAACATATCATTAATAAAATAATAGGGCCATTCCCCACTCTTCACCTCTACCCCTACCTCCCAATATATGTCAAAGGTCATGCATCCATGAAGAAAAATTAGGTGACAAACAGACATCAGGCAAGGAGAGATGATGTGAACATTCAGGGATATGCTCAGCAAGGAGAGATGGTACAAAGATCAGGGATGTAACTTTCAAAGTGAGGAACAGGCAAAAAAGGGAAAGCAGATGGCTTAAGGATGAAGGAGATAAAAGGACAGATACCTACCCAGACCTGTGCTATCTAGCTACCGGCCTGTGGACTTATATTATCAGCACTGGGCTCCCCACTGGGCTCCCCAAATGGATCACTGTTGGATGAGGCCTGTGATCCATCGGGCTAGAACACAAGAAGATAACACTTTTTTTTTTCCTTTTCAACAATTGAAAATATAAGACAGCTGGGCACACTTCCATGCACACAAGTAATCGGCTATTTTAATGCAGGCAGCAACTTCCGTTAGAGGATACCGCGCCCACAAACGCGAGAACTTGTAAGAACAACTTAATAAAAGGACAATGGTTTTTAGCTGCTCATTGGAACATAAAGCCCCTTAGTGACCCCTTTAGAACTTAAGCGCCTGAGCCAGCATTCTTTTCTACTTAGGTTTCCTCATGCATTGTCCATTTCAGCTATAGAGGTTTTGCTGTTAAGGAAAAACAAAAACAGAAAGAATAAGCCCATCACTTACAGCTTCTTGCTCTTCGCTTTTGCTGGGACTTTCAAAGCCCTCTTCGAAGATGTCATCTGTGGTAGGGTCACTGGCGTGGGATGCAGATGACTTGGATGGAGAGCTCTGTCTAGGGGCTGGCGTTGGAGCTGCACAGAGACCATGCAAAGAGATGAAACCCAGTAAGTGCCTGGCTGCAAATGTGCGTACCTCACAGAAACCTCGGGGACCGGTTACGTTCTAGTCAAATCACAGGACTCCTCTTCCTATCACAGGTAAATCAGGTGAACAGTTTAATGTTTACTTTGTACATATTTATCTTGTCCTCTCAATTCTTTTTTAAGTCTATTTTTTAACTTTATTTTTATTGTTGACACTATTACAGATGTTCTCATTCCCCCTACCCCCTCTTGCCCATCTCCACCCAGCCCCCACCCTGCTTCTCTCTGGCTACTGTTGGTTGTGTCCATTCTTTGGCTAATCTCTTCACCTTCTTCCACCCTCTCTCCCCGCTCCTGTCTCCCTCCCCTCTGACAGCTGTCAGTCTGTTCCATGTCTCTCACATTCTTGACTGTCAGGAAGAAGCTGGTCCACATGAATGAAATAAACAATGGTTCTCAAGGGATAGTCCCTGAATCAGCAGCAGCAGCAGCCACATCTGGGCACTTAATAGAAATGCAAATATCCGGACCTACTGAATCAGAGACCGTGTTTCTGCATGCTCAAGTTAAGAACCATACTTTTTTCCCTTCTCTCTTGCTTAACATCATACAATTAATTCAGTAAGAATAAATAGATCAGAGAACAATGATACCCATTGATTGAATGCCATCTATGTGCCAGATACTGTCAGAAATGTTACAGACAACATCTGTAACCCTCACAACACCTCTTCAGAGTAGGGTTATGACAATTACACAGAAGAGGCACGTGAAGGTTGCTAAACTGCTCCAGGTCACACAGTTGGCAACTGGTAGAACTCAGCTTCATCCTCTGACACACAGTAGATATTTGTTTGATAAACACGTGCTAAATAAGGCATATCTCAGGGATTTGGGAAAATGGCTATAACTGGTGGTCACTTTGAAGCTGGTGCTACAGTCCTCATTCTATATGGGTGTTCATCTTCTGTCCTGATATTCCCACATTTTCCTTGTCTCATTTGTTCCAGAGTTTTATAACAAATATGACATTTGAAACTACTAAACTACTCTTCCTTTAAAAATTTCTAATTTGCTATTGAAAATACCATTCACTGGCTCAGACCAAGTGAGGGGTACCGTGGCTTAAGCTGGTAGCTGAATTTCAACACCATTGATAAGCACCTCCTGCCAACACTTCTCAAAACTTACTGTAGTCTGGCTGCTTATCAAACAGTGAGTGAATCTCAAACTTGGTCAGTTCCTCTTGCCTCAATGGACTTATATTTAGAATGACAATGCAGTTTGTTATGTGCCAGTGAGCTAGACTGTGCTACGCACTTCGCATCCACTAAACTTTCTAATATAAATATGCTATTGTTTGTTTTTCTGATGAAAATACTGCAGTTCAGAGAGGTGAAGTGATTTTCTGATTTAACACAGTTATGAAAGAGGAGCACTAGGATTTTAAAACATTTTAATCCTCACTCAAGGATATTTTTTCCATTTATTTCTTGAGAGAGTGGAAGGGAGGGCGGGGAGGAGAGAAAGATGGAAGGGAGAGAAGGGGAAAGACACACAGAGAGAAACATCGGCGTGAGAGAGACACATCAATTGGTTGCCTTCCTCACACATCCCTGCAACCAAGGTACAAACCCTTGATGGGGAATCAAACTCGTGACCCTTTGGTACTTGAGCCGACACTAACCACGGCCAAGGCAGGAGCACTGGAGTTTAACACTGTCTGACACTGTCTACTCAACTGTTGGAGGTTTACTGTTGGTCTAACTGATCCTCCACTTAAAACATATTAAAGAGGATGCTGATGGGAAAGAGGACAAAAGGCTGGTTTCACTCATTTTCTTTAAAATAAAATATTAAGTTTTTCTCTCATTTAAAAGGAAGTCCGCTTTGTTCCATGAGATGATTATGGAACAAACAAGTTAGCGTGGGTTTAAATGAGATAAGCTATACGGAAACACTCTAAGTTGTGGACGTTTAATAGTTATTAGTATAATTCGATTCTGACTTGTGTTTGAAGTGTTTTATTACTTACCAAAGGCTTAGAACCCCAGCTGACCTGCCAGTTCTGAGAGATTCATACTTACCGAGTGAAATCAATAGGGAGCATAACTAGGAGTTAATTTATGCAAGCGCCTTAACCTTCAGGAGGTTTTATGGACTATCTCCAGCTCTAAAACAGTGATTCTCAAACTGGGGCAATTTCACTCCCAGGGGACACTTGGCAACGGCCAGAGTCACTTTTGAACATGACTAGCGAGCAGGTGTATAATACCACTGGCTTCATGGTGGGTGGAGGCCAGGGATGCTGCTTCACACCCTACAATGCACAGGAAAGCCTCCTCAACCAGCATCAATAGTGCCAAGGCTGCCAAACCTGCTCCCAGACACACCAGTAAGTGGGTGTCCTTGGTTTTGTCTGTTTCATTCTCTGCAACCTTCCCCTGTTATAGATACTATGCCAACAGTACAAGACATGTAAGGATAATGAAGACACACTTCCTGTCCTCAAAGGACTTCAACTCCCCTCTGCTGTTTGTGGCTGGCACAATGAAAGAGAAATATTTGTTTTCCAAAGATGCTTGCTTATTTATGCATGACTGTCATGTCTTTAATATTTCATTGCTTTTATTCATTATTATTCCTTGAAACATTGAGATGCTCCCCCCATGTAAATCATCTGGCCTGAGCAGAAGTAGGTTGCTTATCCATTTCAGAACAGTATCCTCAATCTGACTGCAATGACAGTATCTAATTATGTGAACATTAGATTCTGTGTGTGTGTGGACAATTCATGGCATTGGCTAAGAAATGATCCGTGTCAGTTGTGACAGTAATGAAAACGTCAAACTCATTGTTCCATGAGCCTTTTCTTTCTCCTTATCAATTGTCAAGGCACAGGATGAATCTGCAGACACCCTCCCCAAACAGTGTCAACCAAGCACAAGTGTGTTCAAGTGTATCTGGACTGTGATTGGCTGCACAGTTCTGGTTTCCCAGATGTTTGCAGCAGAAAAGTGAGCTGGGCTAGAACCACTGAATATCAGAAGTGGAACGAGGCACACTGTCTATCACTTACTTTATGTACAACATAGCTGAGGTTAAGAGAAGTCCTACCCACACCAAGGACACAGCGTGTGGTGGAGGAGCCAAGATTCGAGCCCTGGTCCAGAGCTCTGCACAAAACCACTCCATAAAACTACATGCAATAAAACAATATACAATAAAACTATTTCAAACCCTGTGAGGTATACTACAGAACGTTTTAGCACATGTACCACTGAATCCTTTTAATAATCCCAAGCCCAAGATAGATGAGGAAATCAAGGCTCAGAGAAATAAAATGATGTGTGCAGAGTCACAAAACTAGTAAGTAATAAAGCTGCTGTCCAGTTCCCAGTCCTGAATCTCTTGCAGGCCATCATCTTTTCCCTCTGACTAGCCTCTAAGCTTTGAGTCCCAATCTGGCTTCAGCTATACCAATTGTAGGAGGCCTTATGGTTGCTATATCTCTGCCCTAACTTTTTCCTGCTCTTAATGTTCTAATTTTTTATCCTTGTTCCTAAAATTATTTAGTTCACATATACCATTCATTTTTATTTTAATGAACCATACAAAGATCCTGTATCATTGCTGGGCTATACACAAGTGAGTGAATGAGTGAATAAAAGAATGAATGAATGAGCAAATGAACAGAAACCTAAGAGGCAGAGTGATGTGATGGAAAATCAACAGGTTTATATTCAATTCTACCACTTTGTCTATTCTCTTTGTCTTTGGATCTCACTTTCATTATCTGTCAAATAGGTCTACTGCAACTTGTCATAAGCATTGTTCTGAGCATAAAAATAATAAATGTAAAGCATGTGGGGAGGTACGGATGTTATAGTAAGAGTAACATAAACAAAGAGTCCTATTGAATACTAAAGGCCCGAAGCACGAAATTTGTGCATGGGTAGGGCCACTAACCCTGGTTGGTGATTAGGGCTGATCAGGGCCTTCTGGCTGCCGGCCAGGGCCTCCCTTCATTCTGCACCGTCCCCCTGGTGGTCAGCACATGTCATAGCGAGCGATCAGTTTCCCAGTCAAACTCCCACAGGGACAATTTGCATTTTATATCTACACTAATAAAAGACAAACATGCAAATTGACCATACCTTCACTATGCCTTAAGCCATGCCCACCAGCCAATCAGAGTGACTATATGCAAATTAGCCCAACCAAGATGGCAGCCGGCAGCCACGGAGCTGGAGCAAGCAGGAGGCTTGGTTGCCCCAATGATGGAGGAAGCCAAGCTTCCCACCTGTCGTGGCCAGCTCTGAATTCCACTCAAAGCAACAAAGTTTCAATTATAGAAGGTAAATAAACCCCAGATACCTGCTTTCAGCTGGCTGTGGCCACG